CCCCCATCACTTTTCTAATGGTCCGCCCCTTATGTTTCATTATCAAATGTGTTCCTTCTATACTCGACCTTTGATCTCAACTAAAATTCAAGTTTCCAATTGCAGAATTCCAAGTAATAGGATCGCTTGATCGGTTAGTAATCTGGGGCTGGTTGTACGAAGGTTGTTCGTAGAAGCAAATAAAAAAGTTAAGGCCCTGTCACACTATTGCGTATCATACTAGCGTATGCCAGCGTATGAAAAATATCACTCATACGCCGGTATACGCTGACATACGCTAGGGGTACGTTAGGCGTAGGTTGTATACGTTTCAAGCACGGTCGCATACGGTGACATACGCTGGCATACGGCGAGCCAGAAAATTTTTTTTAAGCATGTTCAAAAATTTTGCCGGTGCGTATCGGACGTATGCCCAGGGGCGGAGCGAAGACTATCCTTTTCGGGGGGTGCAAGACAACTTTTTGCCGACAAAAGGGCGTGGCTAGCACGTTGTTAGGGCGTGGTCAAAACGAACCGTATTCATTTTTAAGTGATGTACAACGATGAAATCCGAGTAGTAAGATAATTTATTTTTAAAATAGGCGAAATAGTTCCTTAAAATACATGGTATAAATTTCAATAAAGCACATCCAATCGTCATCAAACGACCGATTACAAACTAAACACGTCAGTTTCTCTCTCTTCCGTTTGCGTTTTTGCTTGCTACTGTCCATACTTTTAAATCATCTTCGTATTTTTCATTGTATATAAGACCGTTAGGGTGTAATTTCTAAGACTTTTACTGGCTTTACAAAATTATGAAATGAAGCGCAGACGCATCTACAGTCAACACTAGCCTCCTCCGCAGGCATCTCACTGAGGAATCGGCCCCATAAGTCAACACGCACATGCATGTGCTTCGAGTTTCCTATGGTATCATATTTCACAAAATTGCAAGAAAATATAATACTATTAAATAGCGTATTAGCGTAATAAGTTCTTGGCCAATTTGGCTGAATGTTCGGAAAAGGGCCGAGCTTTCAGTCGACATATCCATCTTTTCGATCTCGCATTTTCTACAAATTTTCTACAAACAATCTCTCTCCAATCAGGTATTGCCTATTGGCTTGATCCAATTCATTTTGCTGACAACTGATTTATTGTGCCGACGTACACAGCATTGGGGGTGCGGCACCTCCCGCACCCCCCCCCCCCTCCTTAGCTACGCCCCTCTCTAAAATATATAAACTGTAGCCCAAAGGTTGTTAAATATATTATTAAGCAGATCATGCAGACCTGTGGTGTAACTAAATGTATTCATAAGTTTGAACAAGTAAACTAAGGACTTTAACTGTTTCCAGTTAGGGACCATCTATAATCAAGTTGCCAAACATGAAGTTGCCAAACAAAATTATCAATTTCCCAACATATATATGTTAGGTATGTTATTATACGTAATATAAGCTTCAATTTAAGATAAAATTCAACCACAAAAGCTTCGCAAAACGTTTTAAAATGTTTTTTATAAAACTATTAAAACTGCCTTTAATTATTAAAACGGCTTTATCGATAAACTTCGAGTTTGCAATAAAATGATTTCAAATTCTCGCATGCAAATAACTTTGCTTTCTTTTTTATTTAAAAAATTCAATATAGGCCTAATAAAAAAGGGAATCAATATTATTAATACACTGAAATTATATGCTGTCTTGTTTAGTT